AGTGACAGGTACCCCTGTGTCACCCCACCCCTGCAGTCAGAGAACACGTATCTCTGCCAGATCTACAACCTGACACTCCTCTGCATGGAGGACTATGTCGTGGAACCCCAGTCGGTGCAGTTCCTGGTGCAGCACGGCTTTGACTTCAACAAGCAGTACTCCCAGGGGATTCCTTACCACAAGGGCAACGACAAGGTATGGAACAACTCTCCTTCGAACACCTCAGATCACACTGCTCCAGCTTCTGGGAGGTTGCTGGCTTCCCCAGTCCCAGTGTCTTCCTTGCCCAGCTATTTCACCACCTGGCTATTTTATACCCAGCCTGTCACTTGTTGCAGTTGCTTTTCTGAATATTTGTGCCTGTGGTCAGAGCAGCTCGTAGCTGTAGGCAGTATTCTGCTACGGGAGGCCCTGGAGCGATGGCAACTCAAGGTGCTAAGGCTCGTTGACTAATCCTTCTTCTTGCAGGGCAACGAGAACCAGAGCCAGAGCGTTCGGACTTTTTTTCTGGAGCTTATACGAGCGAAGAAGCCTCTTGTTCTCCATAATGGCCTGATTGATCTGGTCTTCCTGTACCAGTGCTTCTACGCTCACCTCCCAGACAGCCTCGGCACTTTCACTGCCGACCTCTCAGAAATGTTTCCAGCAATACGCTTCGGAGTTTGAGACTCGTTTTGTAGCATCCTACCTGGAGTATGCTTACAAGAAGTGGTGAGCAGGACTCTGATAGTTAAAGTTTATGGGAGGAAACGCAAAGTAAACATCAGTGTTTTGTTTGGGTTTTTTTTGTAGGCGAGGGGGTTGGGTCTTTGTATTATCCCAAAAAGTGAAAAAAGGTGCTTTTCCCTTTTCTGGGATGGGTTCTGAGTGCATGAGGGTGCATTTTGTAGTATGCCCTGTCTTGGTTTTGTGAGCAGCTGCTGAAAGAGGATTTCTGCCTTCTCCTGGCAGCAGTTCTGACCACAGAGTGACCTACTCTGACTGGAAAATGATTTGTTGCAGTGCCACAGAGCCACAGCAGGAACACATGCAGAAGAGAGACCCGTAAAACTCAGCTAGAGAGTGAAATAGGGCTGTGCCTGGGGGGTTTGCTAGTTACAGCTCAGTTTTGGGAGTGATGGTGCAGTTAAAGGGTGGGTGCTTCCTTCACCTCCTGATGCTGACCAGGTCTGTCACTTATCCTGCATGTGACACTCATGTGTGGCCAGGTGTGACTCCCATCACGTTCCTTCCAAGCCAAGATTGTGCTCTTCTTCCAGGACACGTCTGTTGGCTTCATGTGTCAGTGTAGCCCCTCAGCCTGTGCTCCTCACACAATCTAAACAAGCCCCTGGCAGTGACAGAGCCCCTTGATTCTCCATTAAACGGAAGTCATGCTCTGTGTAAAGGAGAAACGGTATTTTTAGCGACTGTTTTATATCAGGAAATGCCACTTTGACAGGTCCAAAAACATTCAAGATGGCTGCTCTCAAACATGAGAATGCTTTGTTTTGACAAGATAAAAATACTTTTTTAAACTGACCTCTTAAATGTTTTAACCCACAATTCTAGTTATGTGGAGCTTTCAAAGGTTTTGGACCTTTTAGCCAGCTCTTGGTACAAAACAGTTCTTTTCTCACGAGATGAAAAACATTTCCATGTTGTTTGCATTGCCCAGGTTTGACCTATTTGGGCAGTAGCTGCTGGATGATACCTCATTTGGGGGCATTTTTAATTTATTCGTTAACATTACAAAGACTAACACATCTTAGTGCCCTTAATGTTTAAAATCAGGCTACGTGTTTCCTTCTCTCACAGCTCTGAGACACTGTTGTCCCTGCCTGTGTATCAGCAACCTTTAAATCAGCACAGAAGCAACTACTTGATACAGTTATTCTCCTGGGACTGTGTTTCTTTCCAGCAAGTTTTCGAGCTGGGGCTAGAGCTCAAGAGCAAGAACCTAACAGAGTTGAGATTTGGTGGAAAGCAGCACGTTTACCCCAGCTCCAGGCTGTGGTACCTTTAGTGAGTCTACTGCAGTAACTGTGTGCTCTTGTTTGTTCCAGCAAGCGAGAGAATGGCAAGCTGAAGGAGTCCAGCGGCCAGCACCTCACTGTTGAGTTCTGCAACTACGCTGCAAACATGTGCCGTTACATTGACTATCGCCACTGCTCTCTGGAAGAAGAAAGACTCAACATGGGAGGGGGAAACAAGGTGCCCATCTGTGAGAAATTTTCGGTAAGTAACATGAATCCCTGCTTCCTTCCTGGCTCTGTTGAAAGAGCCGTATGTGGCCAGAAGAGGAGGTGGCAGAAAAGCACCTGGAAGCTTTCCCTTGCTTGCTTCACAGTACAGGGAACACTTTCAGGCTTCAGGTGGCTTCATGATGGAAAGGGCATGCTCTGTTCAGAGGTGGTGAATTTCACAGGCAACATTGAAGAGTCAGAAAGAGATTATATGACCCTCAATAGTGGGATGGTATGTGTAAACTAGTTCTAAAGTAGTTCGGTTTGTTCTCTGAGCAAGGTGTGCCAACTCTTGATTAGTTATTAAAAAAAAAAAAAAGTAATACTGTCTACAGCTTCTAGCCAGGCAGCACAGTGTGATCCACAGCATCTCGTGTCCTGGAGCTGCTACAGCAGTAAGTGAAGAGCTTGTCTGATCTGATCATAATGAGTTTCAGATGCTTCAGGGAGAAAAGGATCTTTTCCAGGTGTTGCATGTCACAGAACAACATAGGTCTGGAAGTTTCTCAGGCAGCTACCAGCTGTGTTGCTCAGAGCCTTGTTTGGTGAATTTTGAAAATGATTGTCTAAGGACAGGGACTACAAAACTTCTCCAGCTACCTGTTCCAGTGCTTGACCACTGACTGTGAAAACTGTTTTCCTATGGATCTAGTGGAAGTGTTTGTTCTGACTTGCCATGTCACCTTCCCTTACGTTCCCTGCAGAAGAGTTTAGCTCCATGTTCTCTATAGCTGCTGCTTTAGGTACCTGCACACTCGATATCTCCATTCCCTTGGCCTTGTTTTCTCCAGGCAGAACAAACCGCTGCACCTTGACAGTTCTCGCTGCGCTTGCTGCACTTTGTCAGTGCCTTTCTGGTGTGTTACAGGGCTGTAACTGGACACAGTGTTCTCAGTACAGCCTCATAAACCCTCAGAAGGGAGAAATAATGAGCTTTGCTCAATGTTATAGTGACAGGCTGCTCTAACCAGGAGGCTGGTGGCTACAGACTTCTTTCTCTCTCCCTAGGCCTATGGCTTCTGTCCAAAAGGGGTGAAGTGTCCACAGTCTCACAACATTGACCTCATTATTGATGAGGATGACAGACTTTGGGAGGAGAAGCGAAAGAAACGGAAACACAAATGGAAGCAGCGTAAGAACGCAGAAGAGCCTGCAAAGGCGTTCAGAGAGGAAAACTCAGGGAAAGAAATGGAGCTAGCTCAGAACGGGGAGGAGGGACCGCCACGAAAGCAGAGCTGCTATGAGCCTGCAGCTGCCATGGAGCTGGCAGAGATCACACCCAGCCGTGAGGCTAGGCCACTGGAGAACACAGGCATGGAACCAGAGGTCAGCTCAGAGACCAGCGCACAAGGGGAAGATGATCTGGGGAGCAACAAAGGAATCAGTGTCCAGGTAGCAGCTGCTGTGAGCCCTTCTGCCAAGGGAAATGCCTCTGACAGTGACCAAGTGGAGGAGAAGTCAGAGGTTCCCGATGGGGTGGGCTCAGTGAATCACCTCGACATCCCCCAGACTGAAGCAGCACGTGCTGCAGAAAAGGAAAAGGAAAGCCACAGTCCGCCTTCACAGGGGGGCACACACCGAGCTGGCTTTGACGCATTCATGACTGGCTACATCATGGCTTATGTCTGGATGCTCAAGAAAGGAAAAGACGTGGACTCTGGTGCAGGGCCCTGGTTGCCAGACTGCCATAATAAACTGTATCTCAGCGGGAAATCGGTGCCACTGCAAATAGTGAAGAGCTTGTTTTCTAAATCTTCCAAAGCTCACAGCCAGAAGATGAAGTTGGCCTGGGCCAGTGGGTAGAGCTAGAGGACTCCAGGACTTTTCATCCACTCAAATTTTGAAGTTCTTTATTCCATCACGAACTGACCAGAAGGGGAGCAAGTTTCTTTGTTCTCTTTCAACTTCTGACCAATTAAATTGCTCTCAGTTGGGGTCCCCCCTGTTGTTCCTTAGTAGTATTTGGGGCTGTGAAGGTAACAGTGAGGCTGGAGAAGAGGCAGGAAAAGTGCATCTCTCCCACTGCACCAGGGCTGCAAGTTTCAATTTAGTGCTCTAGTGTCAAAGTGGGTTTAAAAAAAAAAAACACACCAACAACAAAACCTAGGGTTTCCTTTCAGGGAAGCCTGTATGCTAGCTGCTTTAGTATGGGCTTCACTTCTGAAGAGGGTACTTGTTTAATAACGGAGACAGAGGCCAGAGCTTCCCACTTCTTAGCATGTAAGAGGCCCAGCCTTCTCCCACATCTTGCCTTTATCCTTACTGCACCTACAGCCTTACTCCATAGTGCCACTTAACCCAGTGGTTTAGGGGGGGAGGGATCTTTTCAAAAAGAACATGTGCTAAAGGCCAAAGTCTGCCTACAAAAACACATCTGAAAGCTCCAAGCTGTTGACCCATACAACCAGCTTGATAGGAAATGCTAGAAACAGTCACTGGAGGAAGATGTGATGCTTCTGCCAGGCCAGCTGGCTCTTCAGGCAAAGCAAACATTTTTATGAATGCTGAGTCAGGTGGTTTTAGTCACTGCTAGTAGGGTAACTCCCCATAACACTCATTATTTCCTGTCTTTCTATGGAAGTTAGGATGGAAAAAAAGTGTTGTCTTTCTAAAAAAATCAAAACAAGGGACACCAGTCATGGTTGGTTTAGAACATGCAGCTATGAGAGCTATCCCACTTCACAGCTGTACTTTACCTTATCTTGGTTACAGCGTACACAGACAAGACCTTTTCTCCTGCTGGAGGGAGAGGAAGGAGAAGGCTGCTCCCAAAGGGGCCAGGTGGTTCTAGTGCAGGGGAGCAGCATGCAGAGCAAGGCAACTGCTCGGCTCCAGCCTTCAGACTTGTAAGTCAGGGCAGGTGCATGTGGTCCTCTTACCCTGCACTCCTTCCTGTGGGGCTGAGGCTATGCTGCAGGGTTAGAGCTGAGCAGCCACGAGGGCAAGCTCTGCAGGCTGAGGGCTATCAAAAGCCATCTTGTAGGTCACAAGCTACTGCTACTCTTCAGAGTGCTGTATGGCAAAGCAGAAAAGTCCTTGAGGGTCAAGGATTTAATGGTGTAACACTTCAGTAAGATGCAGGAAAGAAGTAACACTGAATAAGGATGACAGTTCTCCCTGTTTATAATTCAGCACCAAGTAATAGTGAAGACAACAAGCCAGGTATTAATGTCATCTGTAACTCAAGTAAGCATTTGAGCCAGCTTTTTTAGCCTAGAGTAGTCCTCTTAATGACAAGACTCAGGCCTCGATTTTATTTTTATTTTGAAAGCAAGTTGGGAAAGTTTACAAAACCTGACCAAGAAAAAAATTACGAAAATATTTAACTGGATTCATCTTTGGTTACTTCTTATTGCAGTTCCAATAAAACATACACCATTTCTATAGTTCAAAAAAAGTCAGAAGGTCAATCAACATAAAAACAAGACGTGCTTTCTTTACATGTTCATAAATATCCACAATATTAGAAAAGTTGTTTTTCAAAGATTTTTTTTTCTGGCAGTGTTAACTTACTATTATACACAGGCTACAAACTCCTTCCTAAGCCTTTAATTACAAGTTGAGCTATTTACAGACTGCAAAATATTAAGACGTAAAACTCCTTCATAAATACGAAAATAGATCATCTCGCAAAGATCTTTATACTTAATCAAATATCTGGCTGCCCCTCCTCCCCAAAACAAAGGTTATTCGTTTTGCATAGAAATGTAGTGACATGCAATATAAACAATAGCATTAAGTGCAAACAGGAATTATTCAAGTGTCTTTAGTTGTACTGGCAAAAAATACCAATGTTCTGTTACACATAATACATCAATGCCTCTCCAACATGTGTAAGTCTACTATAGCCCCTGGTCTGCACTGCTTTTGAGGGGCAGCAATTCACATGCATCCTCTTAGTTGCATTTTATCAACCTGCAACCACAACAAAAATAGCTTATAACAGACATTTAAATGAATTCAACGTTGAAAGGTTTAAAGTGAATTAAAACCATCTTTGATCTCTTCAGGGAACCTAGCAATGTGTAGAAGGTGTTTTAAAAGAGCGAGAAACTGCTCCCTTAAGAAAGTCAAAAATCATGATTAAATCCAATCGCAATAAAACTTTGTCACATCACTATAAAAGAAGGAGTTTGCGGACCACAAGTTCATAGTCTTGTTCATCAGTAGCTGTCAGAAAATGGCCCCCTGTAGAAAAGCACCCTCAGATAGGCGGAAAACCTAGGAATAGTTACTTAGATGCAACCTAGATTCAGCTTTAGGCAACCAAAGGGATGAGGCATAGTGAGTGCCCACTGCTTTGAGAGCCTTGGAAACACTGTTTTCACAAGCACTTTGCTATTTTTAAATGGCCTTTTACTCCAGTTCCACACACTCACCTCCTTTCCCATGCGGACCAAGAATCCAGGAAAGGCCCAAGTGACTATTCCTTGGCATTTCTCTTTCTGACACCACCACAGTACAAAGAGCAAGAAAAGCTGACAGACGTGCCCTGTGCACATCAGCTGGCTGTGCTTAGAGTGGACATTTAAGAAAATAAAATTTTAGCCAGGCTGTGTTGTAAGAGAGCTATTCAGGGCAGATTTTAAGAGACAGTGGTGTAGGAAAACAGATGAGGTCACTGTGATAGGTGCCACAGAGGTACCCCAAGACTGACTGCACAAGCTTCAAAGTCAGTGTCGGAGAGGGCAACAGGCTTCCTGATAAGGTGTCGGCGCTGACCACCCCGGCTAACACGAGCCACAGGGCAGCCAGAGGTGTGCGTATGCTCTCCAACGAGGCTGCAAGCAGCTGTAGGATGCTGGGCAGCTTCCTCTCAGCCTGGTGATCCACAAGTAAACTATTCCTTATTATTGCTCATTTGTCTGAAGTCACACACCTAAATGCATCTCGTGACAACAGAAGCTGGTGCTGATGGTTTCCATCCCAGAAGGTTACAATTTGCACAAAAGATAAAAAGGGGTTTTTTTGCTTAAAAAAAAAGAAAAAAAAGCAAAGAAGAAAAAGCAGGCACCAGGCAGGCAGCAACTAGCTGGCAATTGAGTTCTGCTGACTGTTTCCCTGTCCTCAAATGAAATTACACACACACAGTGCCAGCCATACAAGCTATTTCGCAGACACCAGCCCTGCAGACAGGATACACCAGACAGACTATTCTACAGATCAGCACCTTCAAGAGGCAGAGGCGCGTGGGCCAAAAGGGGTGGTCTCGGTAAGGACAGGCATTTTTTCTTTCAAACTGCTAACAGCTGCCTAACGTAGCATGGACTGTGCTAAGGAAGTGTCACTGGGTTGCTCATTTAATTCTTCACAGCCACTGCAAAGCGGTAACTGCTCCTCAGGTTAACACATACTTCACAAGAGGAAGTTATAACTACTCTGTTACCTACACCTCTGGAAAGACAAGCATCTCGGCCAAGAAAGAACTAAGGCTTTCTCCTTCATGCTTTCTTTGAGATAAGAAAAGATAGCTTACATTTTTTCAGTCCTTACAAGAGAGCAGGAAGAGACTACCTGGGTGAAATTCTGAACTCCACCGTATTACCATCTGCTCAGCAGGCATGCAATGCACACCTAAGTTAGGAATGATAATAGAGATTAAAAAAATAAAACATTTAAATCCCGTATTGTTGGGACAATGATAGTGGAAAAGGGCAGGATGTTGCACAAATGTCATCACAGAACAAGGTTTCTTGTATGTCGCATCCCAGAGCCGGGATCTCTGATGCTGGTTTCAGCAAGCAGCGTTAAAGCTTAGGCCACTGCTTCTTCCACATTTACCTGCTGATGCAGGGAAGAGAAAAATAAAAAGATCATCCCATTCAGTGACAGGAGAGGCCAGTGTGGACAACAGCTTACTTCTGCAGCAGAAAAAAAAGTTAATTTGGGACAAGCTAATTTTTTCCAGTTGATCATGCAGTCTGGTTTTAAATAAGGAGCCATCACTACTGCAGTGACATCGATGAGATGGAACCATGATATGAGAGAGGGAAGTGAATGTGACCCCTCTAGCTTAGTGGGAACAGTCAACCGTGATGTAGATATTGCATTTACTAACTATGCTGCAGAAACACTTGATGATGTCCATTCAGCTCTTCAGAGATAAGAGCCCACCCCTCAAAAAAGGCTCAGTACCACTGGTACTTTCAATCGGCAGCTTCTCCAGAAGCCTGGAAATGACAATGCCTGGAATCTGGCTCTTGAGCCCTGGGCAAATATTCCTCCACACTCAGGCTGACATGAAGAGCTGTGCAAGGAGGAAAGCGGTGCTTACCGAATCCTGCTTCCTTGTGCTAATGTACGCATCATTACCGAATCCCAAGGGAAAACGAAACACCAGGGAACAGATTCTTCTTGTTAATCGCAAAGTTCTTGTCATGTGACTGAGCCTGCAGATTGTGACCAGCATGAGAGGTTTTGGTTTTGCTGCTGAAACAAAAGCTTGTTTAATGCTGCAACAGCATTCACAGCAGCTCTGGGACCGGAGAGCATTCCTGTCTGCTCAGCATAGCTCTGAAAGATTTCTGTGTGTTTCTGAAACAGAGGCTTCGACTTGCACGCACTGCTGCAGAACGTTAATGCTAAATCTGCAGTGGTTTAGAGCAGATGGTCAGAGGAAGAGGGAAAACCTAAGGATCACTCTTTGTACCCAACGTGGAGCTTAAGGCCTTGAAATGCTCCATGCTGGAATCCAAGTTAAACTGTTCACAAGGTGCCTGCTCTGGCTGCTGCCTCTTGGAAGGACTGTGGGGCCCACATGGCCATTCTGGCTGGAGTAGTTCCCCCTCCTAATGCGAATCAGGGAAGGGAATAAGCACAGTTTGAAATTAAATAATCAAGTCTCTCCAGACACTGTGTGCAGCTATCTGTTCGACAGCCAGTTTCTATCATCTGCTGAGTCGCTTTCGAATGTGAAGCCCAGCACGATAGAAAAACAGAGTTTAAGCGACTGGGAACAACTGTTCCCTCAAGGACATGTTCAGTTTGATCCCTCCTTTCATATATCACAAGTTGACTGCATGCTGCCACTTGCTGAGATGTTGGAGGAGGTGTGAGACAACGGGGCAGGACTGTCCCCATCGTGCTCGCTGAAGGGCCAGGCCTCTCTCTTCAGCTCGCTTGAAGGACTAACGCTGAACAGAGGCTTTGCAGACTCTAGCAGAGCATTTTTCAGAAGGTCATCTTCCACCTCCATCTCTTCAGAAGGGAGACAACCTGCAAACACCTGTGAGGAGCCATGTCCCTCAGAGTTCACCGAATTTTCAGCTGGGAGTTTTTTGTAAGATAGCAGCTCAGGCTGGGCCAGCACTAATGGCTGCTTACATGCTGGATCTCCACACGTGCTCTCAACCGGGCAAAACCCATTTTCCTCCTGGGCCACTGGCCCATCTGAACAGTCCATATCCTCTTCTTGTCCTGGTACAGGAAGAAATTCTGGCCTGTGAGGCTTGGCTTGAAAGGGGGGAATCTCTGACACACCATATTTACTGCTACTCAGGAGTTTTTGCCGAACCTCTGCACCTAGCTGGGTTGGGTCACACCTGCTGACGGTGGAAGACAGTCCCCCAAAGAGGCCATATTCCTTGTGCGCCAATTCAGGAGAGAGTGGAAGCGATCTGCATCTCCTCCCAGGGAAGGAAAATTCTTGCCAGTCTGTGCTATACGCCTGCCGGAACTGGGACTGGCTGGCTTTCAGGCCTCCACCTGCCTCTGGAGAATGCAAGTCAAACACCAGGGAAATCACAGACTTGCTTGGCATGTCAAAGAATTTGATCTTCCCCCCCTTGAGGTCCTCCCGAGCGCTGAAGGGATTAACTTTCCGGCCTAACCCTTTGTTTGGTGTATAGTAGGGGTCCTGCACATTTATCTTCCTGGAAGGTTTGCGGGAGAAGATATCTGACTGGCTGCGTGACAGCCAGATGTTCCGACGGGGCCGGGGTGACTTGGGTGGGATCTTATCATCCAGGGAACTCAAACGTTTTACTCCTGGTCCTTTTTCAATTGATCCTGAGTAGAGGAAGAGAAACACTCTTAGCTTAAAGGAGATACATACCTGCGTCTCTGCTCACTCACAGAACCTTCATGACAACTATAGGAAAAGCTTCATTTCTGGTGTTCTAAAGTATCTACCATAAGCACACGTCTGCTCATTCCTTACAAGTTCCTGCACAAGCACAAGTTCACCATTTTCTTCTCCTCAGTGGAGGAGAAGTGGTTTCAAACATGGAGATCTGGCAGCTCTGTTCACAGGACCTTCTAAATGTCTGGCAGTCAGAACTACATTTATAATATACTCTCTTCTCTCTTTACTCATGCCTCGGGCTAGTTAAAAGTCATCTTGAAGACTTCAGGAACTGCAAATTCAGTTAATGCTATCTTACCTCCCTAGACACTGGGAACTACTACTTTATCATTTTATGATCACATTTGCCACCCACATTACGGAGGATGCTAATTCAACAAGACAACGTTGTCTTCAGAAAAAAACACAGGAAAGGGAACTGTCATTTTCTGGAAGACTTGATCCATTTCTTTTTTTTAGCTTTCATTTATGGATACTAATAGAGAAAAGCTCATGACTTCCTTGCTGAAGAGGAGTATTCACCTTTGTACGAGGGACTGCATTCCTTCAGCTCTCAAAACATTGTGTTTCAGGACTGAGAACAGACCTGGTTGCTTTCCTGGTAGCCCCAGTACTACTAATGAGTACTTTCACACTTCAGGCCAGAGACAGAGGGGCACCCATGTGGAACTCTTGTAGGATTAGGTACTTACAGGACTGAGGGCTAAGAATCCAGTCTGCCTTTAACAAGGCTTGTTAGAGAGTCAAAGTAACATTTTAATGGAGTGCTTCATGATACAGGGATTTAGGGAAGTGCTTTCAGTTAACTGCCACTTATTTCTTGTTCTCTCCTCTCAAGTATGCTCCTGGCTCAAGGGGGACCAGAATTTGGTAGGAATGAGGAAGCCTTTCCAAACCTTGTATTTTAGGGGCCCCTTCAAACCACTTTGCTGCCAGCACACTGACAGAGCAGAGGTGGAACAGGGTGGTCTCAGAGAATAACATTTTGCGTGTTTCTAGATTTATCGTCCTGGCTTCCAGCAGAGGTTGCCCAAGATCTGTGGATGACACTGACCATAAAAGAGAACGGGTACAAGACATAGTTGCTGAAGGAACTGGGACTTTTTCACTCTGATGGACAAAGTCTAAGACCAAAATATATGCCCCCTCCTGTTATCACAAAAAATTTAAATCATTCCATCCCAGGATTCATTCAGTACATTATCCAGTACAGAAACTAGGGGTATATAAGCATTTGACCCTAATGAATAGGAGACAAAAAGTTGTACATATGCATGTGTGTATATTTATTTGCACACACATACATATATATATATATAAATAAATAAAAGATGTATCGTTAGAACAGGACAGGAAAATTGTAGTTGTTTAGGAAAAGATGCCAACTCCTTGAGTGTATGGAAGATGCATGTGCCATTTGCTCTCAAGGTGCCTCTGAAGAGCTGTGGTAAAGCAATAACAAAAGGTTATAAAGAAGGGGTATCTCCTTTTGGTTACCATATCCAGAATAAGCGCATACAGATTTCCACTTTTCATTTTAAATACTGCCCCAGTTTAGACCGTAGTCACTCCACCTAGGAAAGACTATGTAAGTCAAAGAACAGCATGTTCTTCTCCAGGAAGCTGCAAATCTGACATGTACTCCAAAGGGAGAATGCCAGGAAAATAAAAAAAAATAAAAAAAAAAAAGAGAAGAAAAACAAAACCCCAAACAAACAAAAAACTTTTCTTTTTAAACTCATGCCTCTTCTAGATGCTTTCCTTGTATGGGAGAACTACCACATGCATGCACCGCTTGTGGTTTGCAATACAGAGCTTATTTCAGTCTATAAGTACAGTACAGATAAACAGCTCTGTATATATACTGTCTATTTATATATACACAATACAAGAAACTATTTTTACTGTACTCTAAGTGCCAGAAGTTTGCTAACGTAAAAGATACTAAGACAGCATATGCCCCAGCCCACAAGAGATGCTTGCGGTTTGCTCCTCACACCAGGTGGCACTAGACAGCTTTAGAGAAAGCTCCTCAAAGCCAGCATTCTCGAGCAGCTCTGGGATTCGTCTTTGCCCCAGTCTCTCACTCTTGCATCTTCTCTGCTTTTTCTCCTCAAGAAAATTAAGAGGCTTCTAGGTGTTACATGTAACATACACTAAAGAAATTATGTATATGCACTCAGTATGGCAGGGATGAAGCAAAAATCCCAGTCTTCAAAACGGGAAGCATTGTATCCTCTTGCTATTAGTCCTCAGTAATGTAATGTACAATATGAACTTACCTTTAGGTTTTCTTTCACTGTTGTCAAGGTTCAAAAACTTTCTTTCTCTCTCTGAGTCCTCATTTCTCAGGCGGTTTAAAATCTCCTCCAGTGTTTTGACAATATCAGCAAATGAAGGACGCAACTTTGGATCCATCTGTGAATGCACACAAATCAAGTAAGTTCACGTGGGTTTATCCATGCTGTTCTACTTAGGCAGTGGGCAGAAGGATAATCTGACGGAACCAAGGTAATTCAAGCCCATTTTAAGAAGTGCACTGTCATTGCAAAAAAAAACCAAAACAAACAACTAAGCAGGGAAAAAGTAGTATTCTGTCTGAGTTTATGTCTGTTATACCTCTCACATTAAATTATCAAGTTGTAAACATTCTACGAAGAGGATTCATTTGAAATTGAAAAGGTGGGAAGCTGTTAGATTCAGGGCTTGCAAGGGGGTTTTGTTTGTTTCTTTTAAACAGCTTTCATAGTTCAAGGATTTCTTTCTGGACTCCAGTTATGGGATGGAGATTATATACCAGCGTTATTTCAAAATGTGAAACAATAAGGATTAAATAGAGCAACTTGGCTATGTCATTCTTTAAAAGTTTGTAATTCTTCCATCATCTCCTTGTGCCATTAATTAAAACCCACCTAAATGGCACTGCTGTTTTTAAAATTTAAAATGTTGTACCTTTCTACCCATTAATTAGCCATACTACTCAGTGTACTCATCCGTCTTGGGAGGAAGCAAGACTCAAATTATATAACCAAAGTAACACAGCTGAAAAAAATCCATCTTTGCCCAATTAAAATATCCCCCCAGCCATCAGTATGTATTCAGTTTGTATTTTTCAGTATGGGTTTATTTATTCACCCTAGTAGAAACGAATCTCTAAACAAAGTTCAACGCTAAAATTGTGCTAGAGGGCAAGCACCTTAATTTAAGTAGTAAACTAAGAGACATTTCATCATTTTGAACATTGACCCTGTGTACAGATTTATCTACTGTAGGTAGCAATGTCTTATTCAGCAGCTGAAAGTTAACTTCATTACACTATTAAAAAAATACTCTGCTTGACGTGATTCCTGTTTGCAGCCCTCTAAAGGCTTTTCAGAGTGGACAAGCCCAGGCAGATCTCACCTCTAGTACAAAGAGAACGGTGGTGCTTTGTACCAAACAAAGCCCAAAGACCTCCCCGATACTGCTTTAGAGGTCCTACAAGATGGGTTTTTCTGAAGAGAACTTGTATGAACAGCAATGCCAGAACACCTTCTAGTGACACAGGGTAAAGGGTTAAAAATTCATATGTACAGTAATAAAAAGCAAACAAACAACTCACAATTGAAGAGCTCAAGAGCAGCAAGAAAGTTATTCTAATGCAGCAGCCAGAATTTCCTGGCATAGGAAAAGATCTTTTCTGCTTTCCTTATTTCACTGAAAGTAGGGCAGGGGCAACACCGAAGCACACATTCTGACAAACTTACTAATTTGGGAAGCTAAGGGAGCTTTTGCAAGCTACAGGAAGTAAAAAGAGTTCTGGCTAATTTAATTTGTGCTAGGTTAAGATCCAGAACAAGAGTAGCAATAGAAAAGTGACTCAGAGCAACATTTACTTCTTTCATCCCTGAGCAGTCCAGATTCTGCTCAAATGGAACAGAAGGTTCTTCCTCAAGGCAGCAGGTGCCCATAGTTCAGCTTGTGCTGATAAGCTTTCTGCATGATTGTACGTGATTCCGTTTATAAATATTTGTACAAGTAGGCTTCTAGTTGTTGGAGAGCCTTAAGTTTTAGACTTTCTTGCATGTACTTACCTAAAACCCCCACTTTATAATACCAAATTAAAGAAATTGTAATCCACTACTCATACATGGGAATTTTTACTGCTTTTCTTAGGTTTTCTTAGGATGTAGGAAACTCCAGGGCTTTGCATATTCATTTAGCTAATGAGCTGAGCTATACAGCTTATGCTGTTTGTTGACCTATTAACTAATAAAAAAGCTAAAAACCCATACATGTCTAAGAGCAAATTATCACACAGATCACCTATTACTGAAGCACAGTGTGCTCAGAGAGATATAAGAAAGCCTTATCTGTTTACCACCTTTTTCCTTCTACTAGGTAAGCAGTAAGTGAATTACAGCATGCCCTGTGCTGAAATCAGCATATTAATGGCTTGATCACAAGGCAGTAATTTCCACTTTCAATTCAGAAAAGGAAAGTTTGTTTATTACACAGGAGGCAGCATTTGGCAATAATCAGTGGGAGAAATCCTTCTTCTCTGAACGCACCAAATTCTTACATGAGAATATAAGATCAGTCACTTCCCCTTTCTCCATTAGTAGTTCTACTGTGAATTCCACCTGCGCTGAAGAATTGCTTTGAATCATGCACCAGGTGTTTGGATGCAGTACAACTTCTGGAGTCTGCAGGTGGGAGTTGAGATTTCCAAAGTGAACTCCCACCTCTAGCCAAACCCTTTAGTGCTTACACAGACAAAATATTTCATGAGTCAGATGTACCAGTGTCCCCATGACTCCACTCTGCTTATGTAAAATCAGAGGAGTGAAGTAGCTTGTCTAGAATAAGTTCCACAAATATTTTTAGAATTAAATTACGCTAGCTTGTGTTAAGAGCGGCAGTCACCCCCACCTGCACACATCCTCACCTTTATACTGCTCTCCCCTTGAGCATGTGCTTATGTACTAACACAAAGTAGAGAGCTCGGGAGAAAAATAAGCATCAAGAACATGCAGAGATGAGCCTTTTCTTACAAACACTCGCTTGGACACAGTGCCAGTATTGGCTCCAGCGTGGCCTGGTTGTGGAGTCCTGGGCAAAGTTTTGTACAATAAAATTTTTTCAAGTTGCCTCAACTTAACATGCAAATTGGACATTCCCAGCTTCACCTCAAGTTCTCATGTAAACCAGTTTACTATACAAAAGTACTAGTGACCTCTGTTAACGGGATCAACAGAGATCTACTTCCTTGGAATGTTCTCACTGAGGAGCCATGAAGGTATCCAGCACTATCACAATTTTACTTGAATAATTGGCAGAAAATTTACTCTATACAGCACATTGCCTACAGCCTTACTGATATTCAATCATTTGGGTCCAAGTTTGGTTTTTTGGAATGCTCAACTTAAGTTGTGCAAATTGGACGTTTCCAGCTTCAGCTGAATCTAATAGAAGCTCGAGTTCTCATGTTAACCAGTTTACTATACAGAAGTACTAGCAACCTCTGTTACGGGATGAACCACACAAGAGACCTACTTCCTTGGAATGTTCTCACTGAGGAGCCATGAAGGTATCCAGCACTATCACAATTTTACTTGAATAATTGGCAGAAAATTTACTCTATACAGCACATTGCCTACAGCCTTACTGATATTCAATCATTTGGGTCCAAGTTTGGTTTTTTGGAATGCAGGCTAGGGATTTGGAAGTTTATAGCACTTTCTAAAAGGCAGCATATAGAAACTTTAGAGTAGTCTAGTGCCTCCTCTCGATTTGTTTGTCCCCTCTGTTTGTGAGAACAATTCAGAATTCCTTCTTCACAGCTCAGTAGGTCTGTACACAGTTACAGCTCGATTTTGCCAGCCCAAGGGGCAGCCAGTGTCAGTAGCACGCAACTGGTTATGATCAGCCTGAGCAGCCTGCAAGCAGCTGTTCAGTGTGCCAGACCTGTTTGTTTGGCAGGACAGAACACAGAACTACACAAAAACAAGACAGACCTATTTGCAAGAGGAAGGTTATAAAAACTGCAAGGGGCTTTCTGTGTTATCAGAACGTATGCTGCTTTCACAAGTAACCTCTTCAAGTTTCTTCCGTAAATGCTTTAAGCTCTATCTTCAACAGCCAGAGGGATTTAGAGAACTCCAGTTCAGGCCTCTCCCCCTCAGGTAGGATACTCACATTACAGCAGTTGAAGGCCAGCTGGAGGAAGTCAGGGGGGCAGTCTCCCACCATGTGCTGGAAGGCATCATAATCTAATCCAAAATTCTGTACAAACAAAAGCACAGCACAGAGATACAAATGAGGTCTGCTATCTGGCCCAAAGCATCTTCTTTTCAGTGGGTGCCTATATGGAGTTATCAGGAATAACCACGAACACCACCTCTCAGCAGCCACATACAGAGGGTTTTGAGAAAACTTCACGCACACTCCAAACTGCAGCATTTCCAATGGGAATGGTACAAGACACCTGTAAGAGAATGAGCTGACTTCAAAGCCCATCCTTCTTCCTGGACTCGACTGTAATCCATTGCACTTGAAATGCTGCCCAGGTGGATCTGGAAGCAATATCTTGTATGACACTGTTTCACCACAGTGACTTGCACAGAGTAAATGAACAGCCTGCTATAAAACCAGAGACTTTGCTATGATGAAAACTTATCAATTAAAATGGTTAATTTTTCAGAAGATGGTAGACTAGTGATACAGATTACCCTGTTCCTTAAATGCACTTCTGTAAAATCTGAAGGGCAGAGAAACAAAAAGGATTTCTTATGTACCGCAATTCAAGACGTAAACAATTTTGCATTTTCAGAATCGGAGTAGGACAGACAGTTCGGAAGACCAGAGGCACAAAAGCTGCCCTTGCAGATGGGACTCAACCAAAAGGCAACTGAAGAAAGTAAGAAGTATCTCACTTGATTAGGCAATTCTAGTTCAGATCCACAGCGCTTAGCACAGTCTATTCAAAATTACATGTGAGCTTATTTTAGCTGCTGCTAACGTAGCTCCTGCCCCTTTCACAAGGAGGGGCTGTTTAGCAGATGCAGCGTGCCAGAAGTTCTCAGTTTTGGATCTGACATGAGCTATCACTCCACAAAAGGAAGGTCACTGCAATGGTCTCGGTGTTCTGCCAGTTAGGGACAGAAAGGATTTCCCAGGAGGACTGCAGCTGGACAAAGTCTCTGTGAAAGTGTCTTCAACAAAGCTTCTTACAATAACAGCACACAAGAACAAAAGCCTTTTACAAGCTATTTTTAATGTAACACCTATTCATCGTATCTTTGGCAGCAGTGCCAGAAATTCTAAAGGCCAGCCATTATCATGGCATGCTTACAACCTCCCACCAAGGTTATAAACGTAACCACTTACCTCTGTGCGAGGGAGATAGTCTGGATCTGCCTGTATTCTTGCTATGATCTCACACAGAATTATACCGTAGGAGAACACATCCGCCTGAGAAAGAAAAAAATAAATAGTCACATGGTTCAGCTATGAATATTTGGTGCTCTTATCTGCTACTGAGTTTCTCCTTACCCCAAATGGTTATCATGAACCAAATAAACCAACAGCACAGCCTTACAACACTAAACTACTACATTATAGCTAATATTTACCATGCAAAGAAACACACACTCACAGTAAAGCAGTCCTGTTGCACAAACAGCAATGATAACTCCACAACTCTTTCAACGAAAAAACCCCACACACCAAGCCACTCTTAATTCAGCAGCGTAAAAAGAAAATTTTAAAAAATCCTTCCTTGCATAAGGAATGGCAAAGTTGCATTTGATGTTTTACAGATGAGAGTAATTAAAAAAACATAGCCAAAACATGACATGCCTATCTACCACTGTGGTTATTAAAATACACATGATCACAACTTACCCAGAACATTAATGCTGTTTTTAAAAAAAAAATACATTTTTCTGTTCTCACAGTTCAGTACCCTCTGCAGAAAAAGGTATCTTTCCCAAAGCTTGAGATTAACCAGTAACACTGCACATCAGCATCAATTTCCACTGACATTTCCATGACGCTTGGTCATCACTTACTTGACTACCCCTTGAGCTGCACAGTTGTCCCTTAGATTTCCACCCACCTGACTATATTATGTAATAAAATTTAGGAAGACATGGAACACAAATCTACAGAGCAGAAGCCAGCATCCCTCATCCCTTACATATCAGGCAGGCTTATATGTCACCTTTCATGCTGATGAGGATCGAGATCTGCTTCCCCTTTAGTCTTCCAAGCTCTAGCGTTAGTGAAGAATGTGGCACCACAGATTTGGGTATTTTATTATTAATTTAGGTCAATTTGAATTCTTAAATGATAATTATTATATTCACTACTGAGGTAGCTACTGCTTTTTTGCAATTTAAAAGTACCACCAATTAAACAGATTACTAACTATAGAAAGGTACAGGATATGGGCTTTATCACATAAAAGCTGGGCTTGCAGGGCTGAACTAGACTATGTTACACATAGAACAGAAAATCCTGTGTAAAGAAGAGCTTGATGGAAAAAAACCTATTTCTAAAATCCAGTGTGATCTGATCTTCCTCTAAAAGAAACACTTCCCAGTGCCACAAATAGGAAAACTTAAAAATACCTTTAGAGAGCATTTTTATCCAGGTATCTTACCTTGATAAACACTGATTTTATTTCATTTTTTTTTTAGTTAAAATAATGGTACAAGTTTACATACAGAACTTTTACTTCTACCCCGGTTTCACTAAAATATGGTCAGGGAAGCAACCTCACCACATTTCCCATGAGACTTGGTTACATTAAGCTGTATTAGGTCAACAAGCCATTACCTTATTTCTGCATGTGGGCTGGTTTAGAACAGAAATAGTATAACAGTGAATTATGTTAAAGGTAATTCTACCTCATGTAAGAATCCACACCATGACCTAAAAATATTTGCTATTCGGTGCACACTCGCCCTTAAGTCTGAATGACCTACTGAATACAGAAATGAAAATAACAATAATTTTAATATTATGGAAATCCTAAATCTTGTATACAGCTATCAAAGAGAAACATTGGACAATTAAAGTCCATTTATATCATGTACCTACCTTTTCGTTGTAAGGTTCATCTCTGAGAACTTCTGGTGCCATCCAGAAGGGTGAACCCACCACTGGTAACTTCTCACTAAGTAGATATGGGATAGGTGGGGGAAACAAGGGAGGGGGGTGAGGGGAGAGAGAAGAACCATTCATTGAGTGCCTGGGCATTGCTACTAACTTTCCATAACTCCACGTATCTGCAGAAACTTTCACCAAAGGAAGGTCGATACAGGTGGATTCCATAACATACTGTATTTTACACTGGCTTCCTGGAGTCACAGAAACATTCAATAGCAGGAGGAGAAGGTGAAAGAAAAAGAAAGCTTAAATCAATTGCTCATATTTTATTTCCAGTTTCTAAGTGCCTGGCCACTGTTTTTTCTCCTTTTTCTTTTTTTTTGTTTTTTAAATATTTTAAGGTCACAGCTGTTCAATAGTTTTGGTTTCCAAACTGACAGAGTTGGCTCCTTCATCTATACATAGAAAGGTTTGTGGACATCAGTTCTGTCAAGAACTGATCATCATCAACTGATCATCAACTTGACATCAGAGATGTCAAGCTCTCCATTCATGAGGCAAGACATGCAGGTATCCCTACATGTGTATCAGTAAGAGGCAGAGCCTGCCTGCAAAGTGTATGAAAAAAAGAATTTAAAAAAAATTAAAAATCAAGCTTGACCAGAACAGAGCCGCTTTGAAAAAGGTGCAATATTTCCATATGGCCTCCAGCTTGCCGCCCTGCTGACCTTGAAGGAACATCTATTGAAAAAAGGTCTCAGAAGTCCTCAGAATAGCACGGCTCACTAGCCAGCAAACTAGAAACAACAAAATCTCATTGGAAAATGGAGTTAAGACTAGATCAAACCAAAATGGTTGCTAATCTAACAATTTTATTATGTTGTTTGGTTTAGTATCAAGCTACCTTAACTCTTACTGTACTCTCAGTTTTCAAGGCATCTCAAAATTGAGCGTAAAGAACAGCTTAAGGCACCTGCAGCGTCTTCCTGATTTTGTGACGCGTTTGTACGAATAAAGCCGAAGCTTTCAGCACCTCAAAGGGCAGAGATTCCAGTGCAGTGCAGAGGACACACACTGGCTGTACTTATCACAAGTTTGGCAATTAAGACGCTCACTTTATTCCGCTTTTAGATCAATACTTCATCAACATTAAAACAAGCCTTCAGACCTCTCAAGATCTGCTTTTAAGACACAGTTTAAAAACAGTGCATAGCTGACATCAACTTTTATTGTTTTCTTTGCACTCAAAAGAGCTGGAAGGCTTTTATTCATTTTACGTAGAAGCACGCCCTGGAGAAAATCTAGCAGCATATTTCACAGTCAGAATGCTCTGAAATACACAAGTCAATATGCAGCCAGAACAATGAAATCTTTGTCCTTGATCTCCCTAACGGAGACATGACAAAAGGACTATTTCCAGTTGTGACAATAGCTTGTGACAGTCACCTGTGCTTTCTACAGATGAATCAAAATTTTAATTTCATCCTAGGGAGAGCAAAAAAGCGAGATACTGTTAGACTGTAATTTTAACATCTCTTTTGTTATAAACATGGATCTTAACAACTAACCCAGAAGTTAAGGAAACTAATACTGGAATGCTACTGAGTATTGTTTATGAAAATGGAAAGAAGCTAATGATTTTTTTTTAATCAACACAGAACATTTATTACAAAGTCATCCCAATGTAGAATGCTGGACAGTATTTTTGTGTGTACTTTTTTGTTTATTTTTTTTCCTAACCAAAATTCCCACGTACTTGCTTAAAAGAGCTACCAAAAGGCTTGAGTAAATCTGCTCGCTGGAGCATTTCTGAAGAATAAATACGATGACTAAATCGATCAAAATGAACAGTAATTAAGGCTAGAAGATTCTGGTCCTCAAGCCTGCAGTTCTAGACTGAAGATGGAGGATATTGTTTGCAAACTTTGTATCAGCATGCAACAATGACGTCAGGGATCTGACCTGCAACTGCACTGCAACTCCTGCTGTATTTTGTTCAATTCACTTACCTGTGATCAGGAATTTTCTCTGCTAAACCAAAGTCTCCCACTATTGCTGAGAATCCATTCTCATCACGTTTTATTAGGCAGTTCTGGAAAACAAATGAAAACAGAACAGTTATCATCTGGGCATAAACCCCATATACCATTTGTTTTATTTATTTTGAATCTGGAACAAAACTACAAGATATCCTTTGCAAGACATTCATCTAGGAGAAGCTTTTGTCTGAAAGCAGTCATCCTTTTTTCCTACCCTCCCCCCCTGCACAATCACATGTCTGAAAAACTTAAGATGCTGCAAACAGCCTTCCACTTAGTTAATAATCCACTTAAAAACTTGCTGAGAAAGCAGGCTGCCACAGGCAGCACGTACCCAGCTAGATTCTAGCAAGAATTAGGATGATTTAGGTCCTTTACTGCTCAAGTATGCAATAAATGCTGCTTACTATGACACCTTCAATTTTCTCTTTACAATTTGCCTGTACCTGACCAGAATACAAAATCAGGCTCTAAATGCCTTTGTGCATTCTGCTACATTACCTACTGAAAAGGAACTCACTGCTTCGAAGGAGATTTTCATCACAAAATATAAAAAACGTGACAAAGTTATATGCGCTTTTAAAAGCTCACAATTCTTTATTCTACAGTACATCACAAAACATCATTTAAGGATAAGTTCCATTGGGAAAAAGCTGTCAATCTTTTCCTTTCTGATGTGCCCTCCAGTGTCAGGAGGGAGGGCAAATTAAGGACACACAGAGAGCATTCTGGTCTGGCAGCATCACGTCACATGCAGGGTATTATCGATTTACTTACAACTGAGAAATATGCTTCGACCATTCCTGTGCCACAACTTTTCCCTTCTCAGTGAATGAATTGCTATTTGATTTCCCCCCCTAGGTTTTTTCTAGGTGGAGCAAGACAGAGAATTCATTTCTTTACCACAGGCTTTGCTTTGCACCCTTCTCCAGGCAGTACAATAGCAGTGACAGGCAGCAAAACCGCTGCCGGCTCCTGGAGCGTGGTACCCTGCATTAATTAGCTGAACAGCAGGAAACACTTTCCAGCTTTATTGTGCTCGGATGTACAAAAGCCCCTTGCTGACCCCAATGCATTAGCTTGTCTGTATAATGCAGCTACCAAGAAAAGTGAGTCCCTTGTCTAAAAGATCAAGTTCAGGTCATCCCTGTTTACATTATTCAGAGATGATTGCGGCTCAGGCCACAGAGTGAGTTTTCTTCTTGCCAATTAAAAGGTTAAGCAAGCCACTCCTGAGATCGTGTAAAGAAAACCCATGCCAGGGTCCTGAGATGTAGTTTTATTTGTTCAGCATGACTCAAGTATAATAAGTACAGTTAGTTTGGCGCATAAACATGTACCAAGTTAAATCAACTGTGCTTGCCCAAAGAGCAGCAAAGCTTCTCACTTACGGGCTTTGTTATCTTTTATCAAAGAGCACATTCATTCAGCTTGCCTCTGTTTAAACATTTGGTCACTGTAAGTGGACTTAAAACTGAGAAGGATAAAACTTCTCTGATAAATCTTACTCAAATGATTCAGACAAGTGGAATTTCATTGTGTGCCACACAGAAACAAGCCCGTGAGGACACCAGAGATTTTGCAGTGTACAAGAATGCTGATGACGTTTTATGCAGCAAAATATCAGGTTATTTTCTGCCATAGATTTCTCAGCAATTAAAGATGATTTGTAATTTGACATTTAAAAAACAACAAACTCTACAATACATAAAAGAACTAGTTTTAAAATCTGGATTTCCTTCTTGCATTGCCTTTGACTATTCACATGTTGTTCATTTTGAGTAGCAGTAGTTCATTCCACCTTCTGTACTTCTGGTCTTCAAAATGTAAATGCAGACCAAGATCTATTTTCAACATAATCAAAAATCTGTAGAAACACTTCTACTGACCTTAAGATCTACAATAATTTCCAGGATTGCTTTGATACAAAAAGGAGACATAAATGCCGCACCATCCTGACAGCAAATTTTCCTTCAGCTTCTTACCAGTATATAATCACATCCCATTAAATAGCAATCCATCACCAACTGAAGACAAACAATCTTATCCCCCACCAGGCCCCAGGCAGTCTCAGCAATCAGGTACAGCACTGAACTATTATGCAAGTAGATTACTCCTGGATAAATCATAAATTAAACCAATAGCACATCCCATCTAGCTGCCAAGTAATGCTACCTGACAGCTCTGAGCTCCTTCCCAGATGAGCAGGCGCTGCCTGCAGCAAAGCCGGGCTCCCTTCCAGCGCAGGCCTTTCAAGAACCCAAACAGAACGGACAACCCACCACCGTGGGGCCCGGAGGTGCTGCAGGAGAGGCCAGTCCCCCATGACACAGCAAGAGGGCAAAGCCCGGGGCAACATTTCTGCTATGAAGGACTGATCAATTGTTCCACTGGGGTGGGCTACATAATATTAAATGACATAAGCTGAACTATTCTCTTTCATTTGTGGAAGCCTGTCTTTTGTCTGCACATGAAGAAGTGCTGAGTGTAAATTTAAATTCATTAGGATACGTATTCCACTACAAGAGTGACTTTTTTACTCACACATCAGCTGTGAGCAGGTGACATGCACCAGACAAAAAAATGCTAGTGTCACTGCAAATGCTCACTGTAGAGAAACTAAATGGATTTAATTGAACTGGTGTAAATTTTTATGTAGCTAAGGACCAGTTTCCCAGAACCCAGAAAAGATGGGAGCCTATTCGTACTGAAAACAGTAGTCAAGCCCTTCTATGGATATTAGCATGATCAAATGTCACCGTTCAAGCCTGTACTGCGTATTGAGGACAAAGTTTTGCAGATGGTGATGCTTCATTCTGTGCTGAGATTGTCCAACTGCTCAAGGCCAATCCTCAGCACCACCAAACTCCTTTCTCACCCTATTAAAGCCATTAGACCACCAAATCCACAGTACAGATAATTTAATTACCAGATTGAGGATAAAATTCATAAAAAGGTGACTTAACATAGCCCACAGTAACTGGTAGTTCACGAGCATTCACATTCTACTGCCAAGAGAAATCAGGATCAAAAAAAGGGGCAAAGCTTCATTAGAGGTTGCAAAGAGCTTCTGAATTTAAACTAGAGGTAGTATCTCAGTAGGAAAAGTATAATAGAGAAGACTGCACTGTTTCTTCCAACAAAGTGATACTTCCCAGTTTCTACAAAAAAGCAAATACATGTATCAACTTGGTAGGAAGAAGTCTCCTTACTGAATTTTGGCACAGAGACGCAAGAGTTCAAACCCCTCTCTAGTACAAAGAGCCTCTCAAGAACTGCCTGTGAGGTGAAATGCCAAGCAGTTTTACAACACAGGCTTTAAGAAAACGCTCTCAACTTACTTTTGCACTATTTGTACAAGCTGCAAGGCAATAAAACATCATGACCTTCCCAAGCTTTCTCTTTGGACTCTACAGACAGGGATGGCAGCTCACACAGTCAAGGAGGGCAGTATTTGACTTCAGTTGGGTTCTCGAGGTTTTTTTCCCCCTGAAATGGGGACCCCATCAGTCTTCCCTGAGGCAATCTCTTAATAGAAGCAAGGAGTTCTGTACAGGAGTCCTAAAGAGTTAACAGAGCTGTTTATGCAGAGACAGATGTGAAAGAACATAAAGCCCCCTTTGTGTGTTACAGGAGCTTAACATCTGCTTTGCACAGCATAATCCTAGTAAGACAAATGCAATATTCTACTCTCCCTTTTACATAAACAAAAAGGAAAATAGACTCAAAAGTTTCAGAGTTTAAAATAAGTTGCTTAGGTGAAGAGACCCTATTGTTTTATTTTACAACATGACATACAAACTAAACTCCTCAGAGATTTTATTGCGCTCCAAAAAATAGAGGAACACTACTGCAGCATCATTTGCAACCCTCTGGTGACTGTTACTGAATTAAAATACATCCCAATTGGCATTTAAGTATCAGCTGTTTTAAAGTGCTATCCCCTAGGAGAAATACCATTGACAATTAAATATACAACAGGAAGTTTACAATAATAGATACACTTTTGAAACTAAAACCATTGTATATTTACCGGACAGGCTCTATTTGGGTCTCAAAGGACCAGTAAAAGTTTAATACTGTGGCTGTCATTAGAAATTAATCATCTGCAACAGCTAATTTCTTCAGTACAAGCCCCCCCCTGCAGTGCAAAATATCCAGGCAAGAGCTTACTCCAGCACAAAGAGGACTTACAAACACAGCAGCAAGCATGAGACTCATCAGACAAAGGTTCTGTTTATTGTTTGGGTCCTGTTTTGTTTTATTTTGTGTTAATTAAGCAAGCAGCATACAAGGTAGGAAGTCAAGGTATGTTACTTTCAAGCCCAAAGGCAGTGAATTTATGTTACATCAGATAATCCACAGTAATTGCTCACATGCATGGTTCTGTCCCATAGTAACTGAGACTACTCCTCTCTCAGTGAAAGAAGGGTGAGCCATTACACATTTACTGTGAAGTGAAAGCAGATGTTGGCAGGAATACACATGTACGTATGTATGTGTATATGTATATATGTGCCCAGATATTAGAATATCTTCATGGATTTTTATCATCAAGGAGCTTACAACATTCCCTAAAACTGCTCACAACCTACTACTACTACTGCCTACTACTACTGCTCACAACCTACTACTATAAGACCTTTTTAATTGGATATAATTCTGTAAACCTAAAAGGCATTAGTTTGGGGGTTTGACTGTTTTCAATCAATAGCTCTGGTAGTGCGTTTTTGGGGAGGAGAGCGTTCAGCTAAGACTGCTCAGCTGCTTAGGAGAATAAACTTAAAGTAAGAGTTGCAAGCAAATTTTGAAATAGTGGAAACAAAAATACTAAAAAACATTAGCCTGTGGTATCATACCAGATTTAGCATGTTCTCAACTTGAAATGTCACAAGACCTTTATGCAAGATACACCTTTTCCCACTCCTGCAAAAAGTAGGCTGGGACAGGACATGTGCTCTGTGAGGAATCTGAAAGAGCGAATAAGTTGACAAGACAGAGCAGGAGTCCAAGCTAGGGGCTGGGAGGCACCATGACCAGGGTCCTGAATTAG